AACGCAAAACCTCAAGTCAGTTCTCCCACCGTATCACAATATTGAACTCATGACATTTTCACTTTTTATTAGAGTTGATTAATTCAACCATAGTAAAAAGTGATGTGTTGTCCAGTTTTTTACCATGACCAATAACCCATAGTAGAAAGTAGCACATTTTCTATCACATTATTCGTTACCACGAATCATCAACGGTAGTAAAATCATTATTTCAATCGTCATAAAAATCCTTAATAAATTTATTTATATTTATTTTATATCCCTTATTTAAAAAATAAAATTTGAATCTTCCATTATAAAACTATTTTTTTTTAAAATTTAATGTTTTTTAGAGTTTTGATCTCCTGCCGCACTTTTAATTGATTTTTTCTCATGTAAGGATGTTTTGATGGACAAATTTGTTGAAATATTAAATTATATTTGTTAAAATATTAGATTAGATTAGATTTGGTTTGATTTAATATTTAAATGTAATTTAAGTTATATAGACTCAAGCCCAATTAGGGTTGTATATAAATAGTCCTAGTCTTTATCATTATTTGTATTATTCAATAATATAAATCCTTATTTCATTTATTCCCTCTTTCTCTCCTCAATAATGTGTCTCACGCACTAACAAATTGTCATCCAGAGCTTCCGGTTATTGTTTTTTGATCGAGTTTTCAAGAATTTCACGTCATAGATCGTATTTCTAGGACAAGTGAATCAACCGCTACAAATATGGCTAGTGATAAGGATATTCTGGATTCTCCTCCAATGCTTGACGGCAAGAATTGGATCCGATGGAAAAAACATATGCGATCCTTGTTTGGCTTCCATGACACCCTATAAGTGGTTACCGACGGCATTCTTGCGTTGGCTGCAAATGCAACCGATGAACAGAAAAAAGCCCACAACAAAGTCAAGAAGAAATATTGCAAGGCTTCTTATTGCATTCAGATGGCAGTCGATGCTGCTAATTTCAATAGAATCTCTCATGCTGAAACGGAAAAAGAGGCATGGGATATTTTGGTGAAGTATTACGAAGGAGGTGAGAAAGTCAAGGTTGTCAAGTTACAAACCTTGTGTCGACAATATGAGTTGTTATCAATGGGAGAAGATGAAAAAGTTATAGAATATGTGTCGAAGGTTCAAAAACTCGTCCATATCATAAAGGGTTGTGGTGAAACCATAAATGATAAGATGATAGTTGAAAAGGCAATGAGAATGTTGACCTCTCACTTTGATCACGTTATCGTAGTTATTCAAGAATCCAACAATCTTGAAACCACTAAAGTGGAAGATTTGGTTGGTTCGTTGGAGGCGCACAAGATGAGGATTGTCGAAAGGAAATGAGTGTAAGACTCGATATAGGTTCTACAAGCCCAGTCATGGAAAAAGGATGGTGGTTCCAACAAATTCAAAGACAAGTACGACAAAACTAAGGGAAAGAAGTCTTGGTCGAAACCTCACAAACATCAGGTCAAAGATGGAGATTTTGAATCCTCGAAAGGAGAAGGAGGAAACTATCGAAAGGGAAAAGAAGATAAAAAAGGTGTGCAGTGTTATAACTGTGAAAAGTGGAGTCAGGTAGTCAAGAATTTTTGGTACAGAAAAGACAAGGGATCGGCAAGCAAGGACGAAGGAGAAAATCTTGCACGCCAAGATTCAGATGATTCCGAAGGTGGTATGGTGGTTATGGCTGGAGTTGCAGATAACCATGTCGAATTCAAAATTTGGTTTCTCGACTCAGGCTACTCGAACCACATGACTAGTCGAAAGGAGTGGTTGGCAGATTTTGACGAGTCGAAGAAGAGCATGGTAAAACTTGATGATAATAGTTCATTGCAAACAGAAGGTATTGGAAATATAGTCTTTCAAATGAGTAATGGAGGGAAATTTATGATCAAAGATGAAGAAACTAATGAAGTACAGGTCGAAGGAATTGTTGAGAATCCAGTCGAAGTCGAAGAAGAAGCAGTTGCTGACATCCCCGACACAGTCAAAGGAATTATTGAGAATCCAGTCATAGTCGAAGAAGAAGAAATTGCTGACATTCCTGACACAGGAAAAATCGAATAGGCTATGGCTGAAACAAACCAAAGACCTCAAAGAAATAGATTTCTTCTAACGAGACTCCATGATTATGAAGTGGTGGGTGATGATGTAGTCACACCATATTGAGAATTAGTTTATTTTGTTTTACTTGCAGGTGTTGAACCAATTAACTATAGTGAAGCTTTGAAGACTAAACAGTGCAAGTTAGTTATGATCGAAGAGTTACATGCAATCGAAAGAAACAACACATGGGAGTTAGTCGAATTGCCAGCACATACAAAAACTATCGAAGTAAAGTGGGTATTCAAGTTGAAACGTAATGCTGATGACTCGATAGCAAGACATAAAGAAATATTAGTAGCTTGAGGGTTTCTTCAAAGAAAATGACTTGACTACTCTGAAGTATTTGCTCCAGTAGCAAGATTGGAGACTGTTCGACTAGTGGTAGGATTTACATGCAACCAAGGCTGGTCGACATTTTACTTAGATGTGAAATCAGCATTTTTGAATGGTTCTTTAGACGAAGAGGTATATGTCACACAACCTCTAGGGTTTGTGATTCAGAAGGAAACGAGTATACTATATAAGTTTCACAAAGCGCTTTATGACCTCAAGAAGGAACCTAGGGCATGGAACAAGAAAATTGACTCATACTTAGTCGAATTGGGATTTGTCAAAAGAAAATATGAGTATGGTGTCTATGTTCAGGTTGTAGCATAAGATATAACAATCATTTGCTTATATATCGATGACTTGCTAGTAACTGGAAATAGTTTGGAGAGCTTGTCGAAGTTCAAAGAGCTGCTGATGAAGGAATTTGAAATGTCTAATATGGGAAAGTTGCCTTATTTCTTAGGTATGGATTTTCAAATGTCGAAGCAAGGTATGATGCTACATCAAAGGAAGTATGTCAAAGAAATACTCAAGAGATTCAAAATGGATGATTCGAATCTTGCATCCTCACTTGTCGAACCAAATGTAAAATTGGAGAAGAATGTAGAGGAAGACAAAGTCGATGTAACTTTGTTCAAGCAAATTGTGGGATCTCTGAGGTATATATGCAACAGTCGACCTGATATAGGTTTCGCTGTAAGGATTAGTAAGCAGATATATGAGTGAACCAAGAGTGTCCCATATGAAGGATGCAAGAAGAATCCTGAGATATTTGAAGGTTCGATAAACTATGGAATACTATTTCGACGAGATTATGAATACAAAGAAACAATAGTTAATTGTTTTTCAGATGCTGATTGGTGTGGAGATAAGGAAGATCGAAGAAGCACAACTAGGTATTTCTTTCAAGTGTTTGGTGCCCCAATCTCATGGTATTCGAAGAAACAACTTGTGGTGGCATTATCATCTTATGAAGCTGAATATATAGCAGGATCTTCTGTTGCATGTCAAGCAATTTGGATCAGATCTGTACTTGAAGAAATAAAGGTCGAAGTGAAGAAACCTATTGTATTGTAAATCGACAAGTCAGCCATAAATCTGGCGAAGAATCCAGTTCTGCATGGAAGAGGTAAACATATTGAAGTAAGGTTTCAATTCTTGAGGGAAAAGGTAAATCGAGGTGAACTTGAAGTAAAACATTGCTCGAGTGAAGCACAGTTGACCCACATTTTCACCAAAAGATTGAAGATTGACAAATTCCTGAATTTGAAAAAAAAATAGAAATAATTCAGATTGACTACTTTTGAGGATGTTCGACAACTTGAATTATGGAGGTGTGTTGAAATATTAAATTAAATTTATTAAAATATTATATTAGATTAGATTAGATTTAATATTTAAATATAATCCAAATTGTGTAGTTTTAAACTCAATTAGGATTGTATATAAATAATTCTAATATATATTATTATTTATATAATTCAATAATATAAATTTTTATTTTCTTTATTCTCACTTTCTCTCCTCACTAAAGTGTCTCGCATACTAACAAAATTTAATCTTCGTATTATATTTTAGAGATGATTTTATTGATTTATCATATTAAATTTATCCCCTTAATAATTATTACATCACCAAAAACTAATCTCAAAAACCGATGAGATCAAAACACGGAAACAATTGAATTGAAGAAAAAAAAAAACAAATTTTTTAAATAGGAGGATTAAATTTTTATTTAAATATAAAATAGAAGATTAAAAGTGGAATTTAATTTTTAATATAATTTGATAAATTTTATTATTTATTTATTTTGTTGCTAAAGTGTTTTTTATTTGTTTTGTTTTCATAAGAGCATTAATAAAAACATATTTTATAATTTTTTTAACCGGCATACTTTATAGTTATTTGAAACATTTTCTCCTTTAAAATTCCTACTTTTTTTCTCTCTATAAACTACTGAAATTTGAAAAACTATTCAAATACATTAATTATTTATTTATTTATTTATTTATTTATTTATTTATTTATTATGAAACAAAGAATAAAGATTGAAATCGCTAATTTAATTTTACCAATATTTGAAAAATATAGACACTAAATATAAAGGTTCATAAAAAATGTTTTGCCAATGTGAGACCGAATGAATATTATATGGGTGTTATTAGTAATTTTTATGGAATAATTAGTTAGGACAAATCCACATATTTAATTATTAACTAGCCTACAATATGTCAATATATTAATTAAAATATATTTGTAAATCAACAACTTAAAAGTATAATTAATAAAATATATTTATTCTGTAAAACAAAAAATATAGAAAACTAAAAACAATGTATCAGAAATAATGGTTACATTAATGCATGTTATTTTTAAAAATAACAATGGTGGCAATAAGGTTTAAAGACATAACCTTGGAGTATAAACTAAGCACTCACCATTAAGCATTTCTAGTATATATATATACAAAAAATGTAATAAAAAAATGTCTCCATATTTTATTATAGATTTGAAGAAAATTGATGTCTAACTCTAAGCCATAATTAGAATCATAAGAATTGAGAATGATCCTATTGTATAATCTTCAAGATATGATTGTGACTTGTGGAATATTGTTGTGCCTTCACTTCAAATCTATCAAACTTGCGTTTATGGATTGGTTTTGAAACCAAGAAAAACTCAACACCACGATGAATGAGGCTAATTAGAATAAGAACTAAACCCAATTCAATATCACCTTTTACAATTTCAAAATACTCATAAAGAACATAGAAATAATGATGCAAATCTATTAGAAAAATTGATAAGAGTGCTAGGGAGAATACAAATAAGAGAAAGAAAAAGAGGAAGATGATAACTATGAGAAGAAGAAAGAAAACGAATGAGGCATGAAGAAGAGCTAAGAGAATGAGATCTAAGTTTGGGAACATATTTGGATTTGATTTTGATGAAACAAAGTCATGTTGGTTGTTAAAGTAAGGAAAATAAATGTGAAAGTGCATGAAGTAAATGAATTAATTTAGAATATATTCTATGCTTCAATTAACATTTAGCCACTTTACTATGTGTATGTATATTGTATGCTACATTTTACAATATTAAAATGAAAAAGGTAAGGAGGAATAATTAAAGGAAAACATGTATTGAGAAAGATGATACTTTTCTTGTTTTAAAATTTTGTTAGATTTTGAAGTCTCAAATTCAAAATTTATTGCTTTTTATGCAAGTTATCTCTCGTGTGTTTGATTTTAAGTTGAATGGTGAGAATTGATTTTGTTACGTAAATAATTTTTGAGTTGAGAGTAGATAAGGATAATTGAAATTGCTTTTTAATGTGTAATTGTTTAAATGGTTTTTAATATTTATGTATATATATTTATGTACATAATTATTTGTTTGTTTTTTATTTCTTTTCCACCAGATAATTTGTTCATAAACAAATTTATTAAATTTAAGTTGAATATATTTTATTTAATTTAAGTTGTATATGTTTTATTCATTAAGTAAAAGAATTAAACTAACAAATATGTTTAAAGTATAAAAAAAAATTATAGTTATTCATTTTTTAATTCTTATTTATTCATTAAAAAAATTAATAAATCCTACCCATTTACAAACCAGAACCAAACCGCCTTCAACCAAGTGATCCTCATAATGAAAAAAGATGTTTAATACTTCTCTAATGTTTTTCATTTTTGTTAAATTGTAATTCATAGGTGTCAAAAGAAGATTTGATTTGTTTAGATTTAAATAGATTTGAATTTAAATCTAGAATAGATTTGATTAGATTTGATTTAGTAAAAAGATATTTTGGGCTTGGGTTTTAGCTTAGGTAGCAAGCTAACCTAAATCTATAAATAGAGGGAGTAACCCCTATTTTGTAATCAAGTCATTCACAGTATTTTGCAGTTGCAAAGTGAATAATAAAATTTCCACAGTTTGTGGGCAGAGAGAAACTCTGCAGAAATATCTCTATTGTCTTTTCTTTGTTTGTCTCATAACTAATCATCAAGTGGTGGTCGAAATTCATCATTGAGTATTGGTGGATTTCCAACATCTGGTATCAAGAGCTTGTGTTTCGATTCAAGGGAAGTGTCAATCAAGAACGATTGAAGAATTCACGATGACAAGTTATGGGAATGCAAACTATCCAGCAACGCTGCCAATTCTGAAAGTTGACAACTATGAGAATTGGTGCAAGCAGATGAAAGTCCTATTAAGGTGTCAAGGTCTTTGGGACCTTGTAAAAGATGGAGTCGAAGCGCTTGGCGAAAACGCTTCAGAAGAAGAAAAGAAGAAATATACAGAATCTGAGAAGCAGAGTTATAAAGCATTATTTATAATTCATCAATGTGTCAGCCCAGACAATTTCGAAAAGATTAGTGATTCAGAATCTGCAAAAGAAGCTTGGGAGATCCTGGAGAAATCTTTTGGAGGCGCTGAGAAGGTGAAAGAAGTGAGGTTACAAACTCACAAAAGAACCTATGAACTGCTTCAGATGGAAGACAGTGAAAACATATCTGATTTCTTCACCAGAGTTACAAAACTAGTGAATCAAATCAAGACATGTGGAGAAACATTAACAACAAGAGCTGTTGTTTCGAAGATCCTAAGATCCTTAGCTCCTAAGTTCGACCACATAGTGGTGGCGATAGAAGAGGGGAAAGACTTATCGAAATTGACAAAGGAAGAGCTTCAAGGGACGCTCGAATCTCATGAACAAAGAATGCACGAAAGAGCTGCAGGAAAATCGAAGAGTGATGTGGCCTTGCAGGTACATTCAGCAAAAGAGACCAAAGGAAAAGGAAAGTATTTCGACAGAAGTAGAGGTGGCTACAACAAATCGAATGGTAGAGGAAACCAAATCGAAGGAGACGTGTCGAATCAAAGAAGACCACACCAAGGCAACCAAAGAGGTGGTGCTGCAAACAGAGGAAGAGGTGGTGGTCGAAAACCTGATAAGAGTCACATTCAATGTTACAATTGTCAGAAGTATGGTCACTATTCGAGTGATTGTCCAGAAAAACGAAAGAATCAAGAAACCGATGCAAAGCTTGCAAAACATGAAGAAGAAGAAGAGATGATGTTGATGGTCACAACAAGAGATGAAGACAGATTCAAGGACCAATGGTACTTGGATTCAGGATGTTCCTCACATATGTCTGGAAGGAAAGACTGGTTCGTCAATATAAAACCCTCAACAAAGAATATGGTAAAATTTGCAAATGACAACACACTAGCAGCTGAAGGTATTGGTGATGTTATGATCATGAGGAAAGATGGCAAGAAGTCAGTAATTTCAAATGTATTGTACATACCAGGCATGAAGAGCAATTTGCTCAGTATAGGGCAGTTGGTCGAAAAGAATTATAAAGTGTCAATCGAAGATAAGTTCATGAGAGTCGTTGATACAAATGAGAGATTAATCTTGAAGGCTCCTATGTCTCAGAATCGAACCTTCAAGATTGAACTAAATGTGATGGAGCACAAGTGCCTTTCGACTGCAGCTAGCAGAGATGAATGGATATGGCATTATAGACTAGGTCATCTCAACTTCAGAGACATCAGAGATTTGAAGAGAAGAAATATGGTTTCAGGATTGCCTGAAATTGACATTCCAAATGAAGTATGTGAAGAATGTGTGCAGGCGAAGCAACACAAGAATAGCTTCAGCAAGGATGCAGGAAGCAAATCGAAGGCTAGTCTCGAAATCATATACTATGATGTATGTGGACCAATCCAGGTGGATTCGATAGGAGGTAACAAATACTTTGTTACATTCATAGATGATTTCAGTCGAAAGCTATGGACTTACCTGATCAAGAAGAAAAGTGAAGTGATCGAAGTATTTACCAAGTTCAAGTCCATGGTCGAAAGACAAAGTGGTCGAAAGCTCAAAGTTTTGAGAACTGATGGTGGAGGAGAATATGTTTCGAAAGACTTCGACATATTATGTGAAAAAGAAGGGATTGTGCATGAGGTGGTGCCACCCTATACTCCACAGCAAAATGGAATTGCAGAAAGGAAAAATCTAACCATCATGAACATGGTGAGAAGTATGTTGAAAGGCAAAAATTTACCCAAAGAGTTCTGGGGTGAAGCTGTTTCGACTGCAACATACATTTTGAACAGAAGTCCTACAAAGAAGCTAGAAGGAATTACTCCAAAAGAATATTGGTCTGGTGTGAAGCCTAGCTTAAGTCATCTGAAAGTATTTGGATCTATTGCACATAGACATGTGCCAGATCAGTTGAGAAAGAAACTTGATGACAAGTCAAGTCAAATGATCCTAGTTGGATATCATTCGACAGGAGGCTACAAGTTGTTCGATCCAGAGAACAAGAAGATTGTGATCAGCAGGGACGTGATCATAGATGAGTTCAAAGAATGGGATTGGACTGCAAATGTCAAGAAAGATTCAGTGGGAATCTTATTCGAAGAGCCAGAAACTCAAGTCGAAAGAGAAGTTCGACAAGAGGAGCCAGCAGATATACCCAGTACAAGCAGACCTCAAAGAACAAGACGCATGCCTGCAAGATTGCAAGATTGTGTGATTACATCAGATGATGTAATAGATGATGAAGGTGAGCTGGTACATTATGCTTTCTATGCAGATGTCGAACCTGTTAATGCAGCTGAAGCATTAAAGGATTCGAAGTGGGTGTAAAGTCTATCGAAGACAACAACACTTGGTCACTTGTCGAATTGCCCCAAGGCAAGAAGGCAATTGATGTCAAGTGGGTATACAAAGTGAAGACTAATTCGAAAGGTGAAGTAACTCGACACAAAGCAAGACTTGTGGCGAAAGGATTTCTACAGAAAGAAGGAATAGACTTCGACGAAGTTTTTGCACCTGTTGCTAGGATCGAAATAATCAGGTTGGTTGTTGGTCTAGCAGAAATCAACAGTTGGCACATATGTCAGATGGACGTGAAGTGTGCATTCCTAAATGGACCCTTAGATGAAGAAGTCTATGTTAAACAACCAGTTGGGTTTGTGAAACATGACGAAGAAAGAAAGGTGTACAGGAGACATCATGACGAAGGGAGTGCAAGTCGAAGTATTCAGAAAGCTAAGGGCCATGATGAACATAGACAGTTTAGACACAATGAATTAGGTGGTGTGTTAAATTGTAATTCATAGGTGTCAAAAGAAGATTTGATTTGTTTAGATTTAAATAGATTTAAATTTAAATCTAGAATAGATTTGATTAGATTTGATTTAGTAAAAAGATATTTTGGGCTTGGGTTTTAGCTTAGGTAGCAAGCTAACCTAAATCTATAAATAGAGGGAGTAACCTCTATTTTGTAATCAAGTCATTCACAGTATTTTGCAGTTGCAAAGTGAATAATAAAATTTCCACAGTTTGTGGGCAGAGAGAAACTCTGCAGAAATATCTCTATTGTCTTTTCTTTATTTGTCTCATAACTAATCATCAAGTGGTGGTCGAAATTCATCATTGAGTATTGGTGGATTTCCAACAATTTTTAGCTTTTTTTAACGTGCATTATCTCTCTTGCATACTTACGGTTAAGGATTATGGTTGGTTGTTATTTTGGATTATTTTAGAACTGGGGGTTAGGGTTGGATGTTGTCTTCTGGTTCGACAACATCTGAGTATTGATATTTCAAGATTTCATGAGTATTCTAATTGTCAAACATAACAGACACCATGTTGTTTGTTCTGTTGCTTTAACTATTCACTACGCTAAAAATAAGATTAGACAGTATATCTAAGACAACGCTTCTTATCAAAAGAGCTGCTAAAAATGTATTTTAAAAACACGAAAATTTTGTCCTATATCTCAGACAGCGCTTTCTAGAAAAGTGCTGCCTAAGGGGGGTGAATATTGTTTGATAAAGCGCTGCTAAAGGGGGTAGGTCCTGAAGAGATGCCTAAAGGGTGGGCTTACAAAGCGCTTTTCAGAAGTGTTGTTTAAAGGGTGGGTTTAAGCAGCGCTTTGTGAAAGCGCTGTCTAAAGGGGGTTAATGTGAATTTATA